TTCATGCAACTTACATTATCAACAAGAAAAGAACATTTCTTGTGATATATGAACAGTTTTGGTGATATGCTATATATTTGTAGGGATGTTACTCTGTAAAGAAAGGTTTTGTAAGTTATGATGATGTGCTATCTATTTGTAGGGATGTTACTCTGTAAAGAAAGGGTTTGTAAGTTATGATGGTGTGTTATCTATTTGTAGGGATGTTACTCTGTAAAGAAAGGGTTTGTAAGTTATGATGATGTGTTATCTTTTTGTAGGGATGTTACTCTGTAAAGAAAGGTTTTGTAAGTTATGATGATGTGCTATCTATTTGTAGGGATGTTACTCTGTAAAGAAAGGTTTTGTAAATTATGATGATGTGTTATCTATTTGTAGGGATGTTACTCTGTAAAGAAAGGTTTTGTAAGTTATGATGATGTGCTATCTATTTGTAGGGATGTTACTCTGTAAAGAAAGGTTTTGTAAATTATGATGATGTGTTATCTATTTGTAGGTATGGTAGTCTGTAAAGAAAGGTTTTGTAAGTTATGATGATGTGTTATCTATTTGTAGGGATGTTACTCTGTAAAGAAAGGTTTTGTAAATTATGATGATGTGTTATCTATTTGTAGGGATGTTAGTCTGTAAAGAAAGGTTTTGTAAGTTATGATGATGTGTTATCTATTTGTAGGGATGTTACTCTGTAAAGAAAGGTTTTGTAAATTATGATGATGTGTTATCTATTTGTAGGTATGGTAGTCTGTAAAGAAAGGTTTTGTATGTTATGATGATGTGTTATCTATTTGTAGGGATGTTACTCTGTAAAGAAAGGGTTTATAAGTTATGATGATGTGTTATCTATTTGTAGGGATGTTACTCTGTAAAGAAAGGTTTTGTAAGTTATGATGATGTGCTATCTATTTGTAGGGATGTTACTCTGTAAAGAAAGGTTTTGTAAGTTATGATGAAGGTGGTCAAGTGAGTTATGTTAGTACTCAACATCCTAATAATCCGCAAGTGTTCAGTAGAATACGACAAGCTTGTATTAGAAGTCTAAGTTGTGAGGTAAGTACTTTTTAATAATTTCTTTCTTTTATATTGGATTCTTTTGGAAAATGTAAATCATTTGACAAAGTCAAAGACAAATTTTTTTGATGAAGTTTCTTTTAAAAAAAGTTGTGGTAAAATGTATGTCATGTCTGCAGAGGAGATGCTTATTAAATTAAATGGTAATTCTTTAAAGATTCCAATTTAAATTTCAGGTTTGTCCTGGACGTGAG